AGCTTGGCACATAAGACACCTCGTGTGGAACACCCACTAATTCATTAATCATCTCCGTGGGTTGTCCAGTCCAACTGAGTATCATCGGGCAATTTAGTTTGGCCGGAACAATCCATTGAAAGTTGTTCATGAAGTAGCCCATAATGACCAAATCATAATTGGTTTTGTAGATCTCTTGCCATCGTTCATTCCTGAGTGCATCCAATTCCATAGTAAACATTACAGTATCGGCAGATATCACTCTTGTCAACATTTTCCACATACTTTTCTTTTTCGTACCCAAGCCGGACAATTCTTCATTAAATTTTCGTTGAAGCGTCTCCGACGGTTCAATTATAATATTGTGTATCTTTTCATGATTCACCTTTGACTTTTGCCCGGTGACGACAGTAACATTGTGACCCCGCTCTGCCAGTGTTTTCATAATCGACATGTGCACGATTAAATGAGAAGGGCTGGGACTGAGAAAAACACCCAGTATATGTGCACTGTGCACTGGCTGGACGCCTGTCGATATAGCCATAAATGTTATTGCCGCGATAGCGAACAGTTTGCTAATATCTGCCGCGCGCCAAAACTTCATTTTTCGTCGATTTTACAAAATAAACTGAATCAAAAACTATGACCAGACGGGGGTTTTTTTTATTTTATGCCATCGACTGATAACGATAGTGACGGGGATCATAAAAGTTGTTGCCTGGTAAATTCAAATAAACCGGCAACTCAGTAAAGGCGGTTAATAGTTGGATCACATTTTAATGGATTCAACTGATTATTTTAACATTGGCCAAAAAATTCCGATGGTACTCTGACTTAATTGTAATTTGGTACCTGTAGCATTTTTGCTTAGAAATAAAGAAATCAGCAAAAATCGCATAGATTGGCAACAGTACCGCTCTCTACACTACGGAGCGGAAATGATAAATGTTATCCGATTTTTTCGGATTGCGGTTTGCGTCTCAGTTTTAAATCTGAAAGATGGTCAAAATCGGCCGCCGTCCATAAAAAAATCCATTTATAATTGAACTTGTTTCAATAGTTTACCCAGGGTTGAACGAATGTTGTAAGCCCAATAGCTCCTTGGCGTGAAGTAGTTGCGTTCTCCACAAAGTCCTTGAAAGAGCTTTAAATCATATAAATGTTGTCAACTCTGAAAGGACTTGGATATATATGATAAAAACTCGTTATGGAGCAACCCTTGTATAGTAAGTATTGAAATTGGAATTCAAGCAAAAACCGATGATTCCACTACCAGTGTTGAGTTCATGAAATACTTGTTCGAATTTTAACGAACAAATTAAGGTTAATGACGTTTCCTTTTCTACAAACAATTTTGCCCGTTCATTGCCCTCTCATTTGTACATATTAGGCAATATTTTTCACCTCACCCCACCTCATCTCACTTCAACTTGCCGAATGCTATGCTTAATGTGACCAACCATACTTCTTGCGGAGGTACAGTACTTCTTTTTTCGCTCTTACACTTCACTCAAATGTACTTCATTCATTCATTGAGATTTTTTGTACTTCAAGAGGAAGATTCTGTAACCAGTTAGCGACAATTTTCGGATCACTATCGCACTTTTTGACGCTTGATATAAATGTACACGTGGGTTCTGCGTAAAAATGCTATGGATGGCGTAGCCGGAGTTCTATGCACAAGCACTTTTGTATACCATTGACATTCTGAACCCCTCTTCTCCGGCAAGACAGAAAGGAGAATTCTCAGAAGCAAGCGCAACAGGTGGTGAACCTAACAAAGCGAATATTTTCAATGGCTCGGAAGAAGCTGTTATTGCATTAACTGGATTAAGAACCTGTTATTTAGGCATAGGTTCAACTTGTGGTTCAACAATTCAACTAGAATCTGACATAGATGCGTCCATGGTTACTATGCCCGATAGCTCCGCATATCTTTGTGAAATCATTTCCATAGCGCGCTCTTACTCCGCTGCTTTAATTCCTTAAAAATATGTAAAATCAAACAATTTTACTATAAATAAGCTCTTCATGAGTGTTTTTCTAATTCCTTTCCTTCATACAGCTGTCTTCGAAAAACAACTGATAGCTGGCAATGCTGCACGGATTCTCACAAGGCAGCACGAGGATTTTTTATTTTTCGTTCATTACGAATTACGAAAATTCGGGTTCTGGAATAAGGGTGTTGTTTCGTGAGTACATATATCGATTCTTTCGTTTGTTTTGATTTTTTTTTTGTTTTTGTCGCACAGTGTTATAAAATAATCAGCCGTGCTCCTATTTTCGGAATCGCAAATATTTTGCAAAATTACTTGCTTCAATATCAGCTTCCCCTGAAGAGGTTTTCCCATTTGAGGTTCAATAGAGTTGCTCCTTAACGTTGGTGCAAAATTGCTCACGAGGCGTCGCGAAGCACGCCGGGTATTAGCTGGTATAATATCCATACATATATTCTTAGATGGATCGATATGACTTATCGAAAAGTTGGCAAGCCTAATCAAAGATATTTTCAAACTAAAGCTTTCATGAATCTCTTTCGATTGACACGCCCATCTTAATATTTCAGAAAAACTGTGTATAAGTTAACTAAATTCGAATTTTATCATTTTCAAAAGTATTTTCAAACTAAAATCTTTTTAAATACATATATGTAATATATGAGTTTGAACGACTGCGCGAACTCGATTTTATTCAAAAATGCGTATATGTACATACATATATATTTCGTCTTCTACACTATTCTTTTTTTGATTTCTTCGACTGCTTCGGCTTTAATTTTCTTATTGTTAAACAAATTAATTGCCGTAACCCTTTAAGCGCCCACTTCAGCAACTTCCAGATCGCGTAGAGCGCCACAATAATCGTTAGGAAGACATCTAAGCTGCTGGACTGCAGGAAATTCATGCGCACCAAGGGGCTTTGCATGTGAACGGCCCCACGATGCCGCAGCACATATTCCACCCAGTAGAGAACGTTTTCCCTGGCGCTCAAGGGACGATCGCGATAAAGTTTCGAAAACGCCTGTACATTATTCCGATAAACTGGATTATTCAGCACCTCCGTAATGGCCTCCCGGAAAGGTTCTTCTTTTAAATTTAAAATATCCACCTGCAAACCATACCCGGAGGAGACGATTTTTTCGGCATTTGCCGGCTGCTCGGCAAATACTGGCATTGCAACCA